GTCAATCACCGTCCTCGTCAGCACTTTTCAGGCTCTTCATTTCTCTTTCACCCTCTCTAGCGCCCACGTCGTCTTCTTCTTCCTTCACTACCAGAATTGGATCACTTGCCACCATGCTAGAAAGCTCCATTAACGAGTCCAAGAATCTTCTGGTGAACTTGGCCAACACCTTCAAGTACCGCATTGCTCAGGAGAATGGCCAGCGTATCTTTGGACCGCCGCTTGATTGGCCAAATAACCTGGCCATTCCTGAGAAGGGCACCGAGTGTTTTATTGGGAAGATTCCGCGTGATTGTTTCGAAAATGAGCTCATTCCGCTCTTCCAAAAGCCCGGAGTCATCTACAAGATGCGTCTAATGATTGACTTCTCGGGAAACAACCGTGGCTATGGATTCGTCCAGTATTTTACTCCGGAGGATGCCAAGAAAGCCGTGGAGTTGCTTAACAACTACGAAATTCGAAAAAACTGGAACATCGGTGTTATGCACTCCAAGAACAATAACCGCCTCTTCTTCGGAAACCTTCCGAATAGCATTTCTCGCAGTGAGATGGTTTCTGAGATTGCCAAATACACTGCGGGCATCAAAGGAGCCGTCTACTATGGAGGAGTGCACCGTCAACATGGCTTTGGTTTTGTCGAGTATGAGAACCACAAGATGACCGCTCTGGCTCGTCGCAAGTTTTTTCCTGGTATGTTTGCCCAAAACTTCCTAAAAACAACAACTCTGTCTATTTAACACTCTTTCTCTTTTGCCAGGCTCTATTTTGCTGTTTGGCCGTCAGCCCAAAGTTGATTGGGCCAAGTCCGAAGAGGAGTGTGATGAAGATGACGGTTCACACGATGTCCGTATGATACAGTTTGTGTGCCACAAAAGCAACTANAGAAAACTGTTTTGTATGTTCGCTTTTTCAAGAGTTCAATCACTGAAGAGGAGATCAAGAACTACTTTTCTGGGATAAACCCGTATTCTCTCCAGCCTATGTGGGAGGTTTCTCGAGTCAAAAAGATAAGGAACTTTGCGTTCGTTCACTACAACAGTCCGGACGATGCTAAAATGGC